CAAGTAAAATAATTGAAAGCATTCAAATGTAATTGCCTAAATGGAGAAAAATAGGTAGATTAAGAATATTAAAAAAGATGCTACTAAGGTCCACCACATATGATAAAATTGGTCGGCCATGCAAACGTGGGCCGGCACTCATGTTTTATTTTCTGAATGCTTAAAGTGGAAGCCACTAAAACCTTATTTTAATTAATTAAACTATAGGCATAAGAATTACCTCCAATTTTGTCTTTGCTTTTTTACTTCAAATCGCATTGAGATAATTGCTAATGAAAACTATCATAAGTTTTACTTGATATAACATAGACTTTGTCAACCAAGTTTAAGGAAATTATGGGATTTTATAATGGCGCCGATCAAAGTTGTATATGTCTCATATTACGAATTTGATTGGCTGTTGTAGTGTATATATATAAAGTAAACAACTTTTTCCCACCCAAGGTTTGCCTTAATGACATTTTTCTACCCAAAAAGTTTCAAAATACCACTTTCCTACCCAAAGTTTATATTCCATTAATATCTAACAGATACTTCACTTTCTCAACCAGGATAAGAGAAATTTTGTAGAGTAGAGGCCGATGGATCGAATAGTAGTGACCAAATTGAATATTAGCTGTTGGAATCAGCTAAAAATGAGCTAAGAATAGGAAACTATAACTTTGCGGTAGTCGACAATCAGCAAGAAATCAGGTGACGGAGTGAGAGAGATTTTGTATAGAGGAGACTGAAGGTTTAAATGATGGTGACGAAGAGAATTTTCGCTGTCGGAATCGGCTTTGGATAGTAATGAAATATTAACTTTGGTTGGGAAAGTGGTATTTTGAAATTTTTTGGATGGAAATGTCATTAAGGTAAACCTTTGGTGGTGGATATCTATAGAGGATTCCTTGAGAGAAATTTCTATCCAATCCCACTTTATGAGGGATTAACAAAGAGATACATAGAATTAGATTTATAAGAAAAACTACGATAAATTAAGATTCACTTTTATAAATGAAATAACCATTCCTTCAACCTCGTTCTCTCTCTATACATGTAACCAAATCTCGAATAACAAAAACTAAACTTAAAATTTATTAAATTCTGAGAATTCAGAATTACAGTGTATATGTACATACTCAAACACAAGCTTGCTGTTTGGAAATGTTTTTCCATTTCTCATCAATAGAGTGAATGACATCTAACAACTCCTCTACTTGCAATGGTTTGGTTAAATGAAAATCCATTCCAGCATTGGCAATCTTGCTTTCCTCCTCAGCCACTGCATGTGCTGTCAATGCTATTATTGGAGTATGAACATTGTATTCTTCTTCCTCCTTTCTTATCAGTCTTGTTGCTTCAAATCCATCCATTACTGGCATCTGTCAAGAACCAGAAACAAAAATTTACATACTGTTGTTTTATAATAGTATGCAGATAAACATTTATTTAAGATAAAAAGTTTGCATATGAGTACCTCACAGTCCATAATGATATAATCATAAGGAAGAGTCTTGGAATGTCCTTCCTTTCTTGCATCACTCAGATTTTTGCAAACTTGATCAAATGCCTCTTTCCCATTTGTGCATACTTCAACATTTGCTCCAAGTTTACTGATTCTGGTAGTCGTCAACTTGATCATTGCTGCAGCATCCTCAACTATCAGAATTTTCTTCCCATTCAGGGGCTTCTCATTGCTTTTTCCATCACTATGCAAAACTGTCTGCTCAATGGAGGGGTAATGTGAAGGAGAAGAAGAAGTTCCTGTCTCGGTTCTCAAGCCCTTCGATTTGTTTGAAGGATTGGGGTCTGGGGAATACTGAATTTCTTGAGATGTTGATGTCATCTTTAACTTTCGGAAGCTGCGCTGGGAATGGGATGTACTCTTGCATTCAGGTAGAAGCTTCAGCACTTCGATCAAACGCGAACCATGAAATGGCTTGTTTATAACATGATCACATGGAGGAATAAGCTGGTACTCTTGGTGTTCTCTTAAATGAGAATTCCGCATGATTGGATTATGTAACCAGACAAACTTGCATGAAAAGCTAGGAATTTCTTTTGTGAAGTTGGATAAAGTTTTGAACAATTCAGATAAAGAACCAGCACTGGCATCAATCACTACCAGTGTAAAGCTCGAGCAATTTTTCGAGTTTGTCCTTCTGTGGTATGGCAAAACATTGTCACTTCCCTCTTGTATAATGCCCTGAGCCCCATCACTTGGTCCTGTATCAGAGTTACTGGATGCAGAGATGGTCAAGATATCAACTACATTTGACTCAGGTTTTCCTGAACAAGAAGGATCCATCTTGCGCTTTATCTTCTTGAGCTCCTGGTGAAGCATTTTTTCTTGCCTTACAATTGTCACTCTGATGTTTAAGTTGTTCTCAATGTACCTCTTCAAGACTCGTCTTCGTTCCTCACCGGTTATAAAGAGTATGATGTGAGATCCATCTAGTTTAGGTGCAGGGTTCCAAAATGCTGCAAGATGTTGATGAAATCCAGATTGAGGCCAATCATTGTGTGCTCTGAGATGTTCTTCATTAGTGTCAATTGACTCTTGCTCGCATAGAGTAAGGAGAATGTTAAACTTGAAGCAAGTGCCTCTTTCACCATGCTCTTTCTCAACAATTGTTATTTCTCCTTTCATCAGATGTACCTAGAGCACAATTTCAGCAATGAAAAAAAGTGCAACAATATTAGTTCATTATGTTTCCAATCAGCTGAACAAAACAGTATCTGAGTTACTTACCATCGATTGAACGATACCAAGTCCTAAACCGATGCCTTCATGGCCAAGAGCAGTTTCCTTGACTTGAACGAATTCTTCAAAGACAGAATTTTGCTTGTCTTTGGGAATTCCCTTGCCTGTATCATCCACCTCAAATTCAAACACCATTAAATTGGGATTTTCTTCAACTGAATGAAGCGCATTTAGGTCATTGAAACCTTCCTTGTTCTTGAAAAACATCTTTGATAGACACTGCAAGACAATGTTATGATTTGAAGCGATAATATCTTGTTTGAAACTCTTTTTCTTAACCATTGCACGTACAGAGACATGACCTTCTGATGTAAACTTAATGGCATTGCTAAGTAAGTTGCATAAGATCTGTTTCAGTTTTACGCGATCACCTTTTACAAGGCATAATCCAAGAACAGAGCCATCGCACGGATCAAGCACAATATCTATACCTTTCTTTATACCAACATGATAGTACAAATCAACTACTTCCTCCAGGAGTTGAGCCAAGTTGAATTCTTCTTCTTTCAGTTCCAGTTTTCCAGCTTCCATTTTACTCATCTCCAGGACTGAATTCAATATGCCTTAACCATTCCATAGAAAGAAGAAAGTTTGGTAAGTAAAAACACCATAAAATGTGAAGAGGAACACAAAGGTGAGAAAAAACTGACCCAGTAGGTCCTTTGTACAAGTTTTTATCAGTCCCAAATTTTCTGCCAACTCAGTCTGAGGATTGGCATCTTCATGACAAAGCTCCACCAAGCCAGTAATAGCAGCTAATGAAGCGCGGACATCATGGCTTGCTTTAGCAAGGGCAAAAGTCTTGTTCATACTCTTGCGTTCGGCTTGTTGAGTAGCATTCATTTGCTTTATGAGGGCAGCACATAAGAACATCTCTCTTTTTGCTGCTTTTGTAATTAAGAATATGAAGGTGCTAAGAGAGATTGTCACAGCTACTAGCATAAGCACAACATAAATGAGTGATAGCTTCCTGTTTCTGCTGACAAGGCTCAACAGTCCTCCCCTGGGATAAGCCAATACATACACCTGAAAAATCACAACTAAATCAAACATATACAGCATTTATATGGCTACATTGCACCTGTATGACAAGGAACAGAAATAGAATGAACAAATTTGTATGTTTAATCCTTAACAATGAAAGATTAACTGATTGTTTTTTTTTTCATATATTACATTAACTAGTATGGCAGCAGAGACTATTTGGTCAGTGAAGCATTTTGTCAAACAGATTTGAACTTTTTCAATATAGAACTTTGTAGTTGAAATTCACATACCGATTGAACTCCAGCAATCTCAAGGGTGGAGCAGAAGAACACATGGTGGACTCCGATGAATTTTTCGTGAAAATAACTTGATTTTCCATCATTAGAAGTACACGAAAGATTGGCAATAGTGTTAGCAGGATCACCATTAGGCAATAATTTTTGCAATAGAACTGTGGTGTTATTTATCACCATTTGAATGTTCTGAAGTTTTGTCTGCATAATGACTTTCCCATCAGTAGTTGCCAAATGAAAATCTCCTCCATGAAAATCCAACGCCGCGAAACGTTCAATTACCACTTTTGACGGAAAACCAAGGCATATAACACCCCTGGTATCCATAGCAACAGTGTTATAATACAAGCTATCTTCTGCATTGTTCCATCCTGTCCCAAATGAAGAGTGCCCACTAGTACTATTCAAAGCCTCCTGAAACCAAGTTGCATTCACAGAAAACAAAGGGTTTGAAGGAACAGGAGTGCCATAAAACACCCCAGTGTCGTGATTCACCGGTTGAGTATACCAAGTCGAAGAAAACGAAGTATTCGAATATACTGCAAGAGTTCGATCCCCATCAACATAATATGAAAACAACAGACCCTGCAATCCTATAAAAGAAACCTGAGATAACTGCGGAATTGTTGAAAGTGCTATGAACAATGTTGGTGCAACCTGAAACACAAAATCAAATCAGAGGGGTGTCTTGTATCAATTTATTACTGTCACTTTTATAGCACATAATTTGTACTGCATTTTGCTAACCTTAGTTACAATGGCATCAAATGAGAGCTCAGTTCCATCAAGAAGTGAACTCAAAGATCTTGACAACTTGATTGCAGAAGAATTCAGAGGATACAACAATCTTGCTGCTGTTTCGATTTCGGAAAAGGATCTGTTGCGTGCACCATAAGTTTCCGAGGCAATGGCATGTGCAGTTTGTTTAGTGCTCAACAACAACTCCAATGTTAACACTCCACAAAGCCCCTGCAGCCATGAAAACGTTCATATAAGCAAACAACAATGGAATTACATTATAAAATAATCAAGAAAAGATAGAGAATTACAAGAACAATGACAAAACCAAGAGGCCTCAAAACCATTTGTGGGCAGTGCCTGAAAGGATCAAACTTTAACATGGCTTAACAATAATAATTCTTGTGCTTAGAGATTTGCATCAACAACAACAACAATGGCAAGAAGCTGAAACTTAACTAGAGAAATTTCATGCATAAAAATCTGTTTACACTTTGAACTAAAAGAGAGAAAGTAGGACATAAAAATCTTTTGAAATCTTTTACTAAACAGAAATAAAATTGACAAATCGCCGAGAAAGTTTTCTGTGCATCCTGTCATAATACAACCAGCCAATCAATAGATATACGCCATGGTATTACGAGTAGAACACACTTGCTTTCTTATCAACTCGTTGTACAACAAAATAGAGATTATTATAAAGTTTTATGATTTAAAAATTTTGAATTTCTGTGTTATCGATTTTTTAATATGTAAACATAATAACAAGAATTTAAATTTAGAAAATTAAAAGCAAGAAATTTTATCTCTTTCTTCTTTTATTAAATTTTGGTATATATTCTCATTAAGAACAATTTGGAATTACCATAATTTAACGAAATTATTTACTAATAAAAAATCTTGCTTATTGATGAAAGGAAGATCATATAGAAATAAATCATAAGTTAGAATTATTTACCATTATCTAATAATGACTTAATATAGATTTGAATTTGCCATATTTGACTGCGTGTAATCTAGAATAATTTTTAAAAACTAAAATTTTTCTTTTCATATGATTTTGCTTACTATACGTACCGCTGTTACAGTATAAACTCTATTGTTACTTTTGGTCCCGTTAGGATAAATCTAGCCTTTTCCCCTATTACCATCCACGTATATTGAATATTTTAAGAAGTTAATATCTTTATTAGTCGTAGGGTTTCGGGGAAAGAATAGGAAAAATGATTTCATATATTTTTGCCCAAACACGGGCCCTATGACGAGAATATTTTTTTTTAAAGTGGGACGGTAGTTTTGAAAAGACAAATTGTCTATGTTTTCTTTCATTTTGGGTGAAATACGATGGGGGCCTAATTCAAACCCTTGAGGGTGAGACTTTTGTACTGTATCTTAATATTTTTAATATTTAAAAGTGTGTTTAATATAAATTTAAATGCTATAAAATATAAAAGATCATGATAACTATATTTACTTATTTTCTAATTTTACTCTAATTTTTAAGATTATATATAAACTCTATGGTCACTTTTGGTCCTGTTAGGATACATCTGATATTTTCCTCTGTTATCACCCACGTATATTAGATATTTTAAGAAGTGAATATCTTCATCAGTCGTGGTGTCCAAGGAAAGAATAAGAAAAATGATATCACTAAATTTCTGCCCAAACACGAGCCCTATGACTAGAATTTTTTTTTTTTAGTGGGACGGTAATTTTGAAAAGACAAATTGCCTATCTTTTCTTTCATCTCGGGCAAATTATTATTATAATCTCAAACTTTTTTACTAGGATGATAGTTTTGAAAAGACAGATTGCTTATCTTTTCTTTCATCTCGGGTGAAATACGAGGGAAGACTTTTGTACTGTATCTTAATATTTTTAATATTTGAAAACGTATTTAGTATAAATTTAAATACTATAAAATATAAAAGACCGCGATAACAATTTTTACTTATTTTCTAATTTTACTTTAATTTTTAAGATTATATATAAACTCTATGGTTACTTTTGGTCCCATTAGGATAAATCTGACCCCTTCCTCTATTACCACCCACGTATATTAGATATTTTAAAAAGTAAATATCTTTATCAGTCGTGGGGTTCGAGGAAAGAATATGAAAAATGATATCACTAAATTTCTGCCCAAACACGGGCCCTATGAAAAGGAATTTTTTTTTTTTTTTAGTGGGACGGTAATTTTGAAAAGACAAATTGCCTATCTTTTCTTTCATCTCGGGCAAAATGCAATTGGGAACTCAAACTTTTGTACTAGGACAACAGTTTTGAAAAGACAGATTGTTTATCTTTTCTTTCATCTCAGGTGAAATACGAAGGGAAACTTTTGTACTGTATCTTAATATTTTTAATATTTGAAAACGTATTTAGTATAAATTTAAATATTATAAAATATAAAAGACCTTGATAACAATTTTTATTTAGTTTCTAATTTTACTCTAATTTTTAAGATTATATATAAACTCTATGGTTACTTTTGGTCCCATTAGGATAAATCTGACCCTTTCCTGTATTACCACCCACGTATATTAGATATTTTAAGAAGTGAATATCTTTATCAGTCATGGGGTTCGAGGAAAGAATAGGAAAAATGATGGCTCCGTTTGGTTCAAAATTTGGGGGTTTTGGGAAAAGTTTTTTGAAAAAAGTTTAAAAAAAAAGTTGAATTAGGCGGGTATTACGATGTAGAATTTATAAATTAATAAAATACCCTATATATTTATTTTTTTACAAAATACCCTCTATAATAAAACATTAAAAGTTAACAAAAATACCCCTAACCCACCCTCAAACACCCCCAGTCGGCCACCACCACCGGAGGTGGCCGAAGTCACCTTATGGGCACATGACCGGCTGGATCTTGCTGGTCATGCGCCGATATGGCCTTTTTCGGCCAGATCCACGGTGGATCTGGCTGGCAAAGGCCAGATCTATGGCCAGATCTGGCCGTCAACCGCCAGATCTGGCCGTATTTGATCTCAACGACGGCCAACAAACGGTCATCGTTGATGGTCAACGACGACCATTTGTTGGCCGTCGTGACCGACTGTTATGGCCAAAGATCTGGCCGTCAACGGCCAGATCTTTGGCCTTAGATCTGGCCGGAAAAGGCTAGATCGGCACACTATCGGCCAGATTCAGCCGGTAGTGCGCCATCCTACCAAATTCCGGCCATTTTCCGGTGGTGGTGGACGGAGAATTAGTAATATGGATTATTGGGGTGTTTTTGTAATTTAAAAAAAAATATTTAGGGGTATTTAATTAAATTATCAAATTTAGGGGTTTAAAAAAGTTGAATAATATTGGGAGTATCATTCCCAAAAAATGAGTTTTTGGGTATTTTAACTGTTTAACTTTTTGGGAATACTAAAAGTAGTATTCCAAAAACTGAAAAAAGGCAGACGAGATCACTAAATTTCTGACTAAAAACGGGCCCTATGACAAGAATTTTTTTTTTTTTTTTAGTGGGATGGTAAGTTTGAAAAGACAAATTGCCTATCTTTTCTTTCATCTCGGGCAAAATACAATTGGGAACTCAAACTTTTGTACTAGGATGATAGTTTTGAAAAGACAGATTGCTTATCTTTTCTTTCATCTCGGGTGAAATACGAGGGGAGATTTTTGTACCGTATCTTAATATTTTTAATATTTGAAAACGTATTTAGTATAAATTTAAGTACTATAAAATATAAAAGACTGTGATAACAATTTTTACTTATTTTGTAATTTTACTCTAATTTTTAAGATTATATATAAACTCTATGGTTACTTTTGGTCGCATTAGGATAAATCTGACCCCTTCCTCTATTACCACCCACGTATATTAAATATTTTAAGAAATGAATATCTTTATCAGTCGTGAGGTTCGAGGAAAGAATAGGAAAAATGATATCACTAAATTTATGCCCAAACACGGGCCCTATGACAAGAAATTTTTTTTTTTAGTGGGACAGTAATTTTGAAAAGACAAATTGCCTATCTTTTCTTTCATCTCGGGCAAAATACGATTGGGAACTCAAACTTTTGTACTATGATGATAGTTTTGAAAAGACATACTGTTTATCTTTTCTTTCATCTGAAGCGAAATACGAGGGGGGACTTTTGTACTGTATCTTAATATTTTTAATATTCGAAAATGTGTTTAGTATAAATTTAAATACTATAAAACATAAAAGACCGTGATAACAATTTTTACTTATTTTCTAATTTTACTCTAATTTTTAAGATTATATATAAACTCTATGGTTACTTTTGGTCCCATTAGGATAAATCTGACCTCTTCCTCTGTTACCACCCATGTATATTAGATATTTTAAGAAGTGAATATATTTATCAGTTGTAGGGTCCTAGGAAAGAATAGAAAAAATGATATCACTAAATTTCTACCCAAACACGGGCCCTATGATAAGATTTTTTTCTTTTTTAGTGAGATGGTAATTTTGAAAAGACAAATTACCTATCTTTTCTTTCATCTCGAGCAAAATACGATTGGGGACTTAAATTTTTGTACTAGGACGATAGTTTTGAAAAGATAGATTGCTTATCTTTTCTTTCATCTGTTGCAAAATATGAGGGGGGACTTTTGTACTGTATCTTTAATATTTTTAATATTTGAAAACATGTTTAGTATAAATTTAAATACTATAAAATATAAAAGACCGTGATAACAATTTTTAATTATTTTCTAATTTTACTCTAATTTTTAAGATTATATATGAAAATTGTTTTAAAACATTTTTATCAAACATATTTTCATGTTCTGGAAAACAAAAAAACAATATCAAAATTTTATAGCAAACGGTCCATAAAATTTTTATAATTATAAAGATGTACATACACTTTATATATCTTAACACATTCATACATGTACACCACTACCAATTACATTAGAAATTTACAAAATAAAAACAAAAAACAAAAGCAAAATCAGATTTTATTTGCTTCCACCATTGGGTTTGGGCTTCTTCACAATCAGGACAGGACACTTGACATGCTGTGCACAATGATTGCTCACACTTCCCAAGAAAACTCTGTTTAATTAATTTCAATTCAATTATAATATGATTAAGAATGTTAAAAGAAGAATTTATGCTTGATTTGAGGCATAAATATACTTGGATGAAATATGAAAAATATATAATTGATTTGAAATAAAATATTATTTTAAAAAATATTAGAATAATAAACCAAACAGAGCACTGTTGGTCCGTTTAGTTTACTATTATAATGCTTTTGAGAATGATATTTTGAAAAAAATAAAATTAGGTTATCTTTACGAAAAAAATAATTATTAATATTTTGAGAATTGAATAAAGTTGAATTAGATTTTAAGAATATTGAAACAGATGCATTTTTTTATTTTTAGGATATGATAGTGCAATAGGATAGGCGATAATAGTGAAATATATTATTATCATAATCATTTTTAAACCTCCAAAATATATGGGGGGGTATTGATGAATTCCAATACCTTCGTGGTTTATATGATATTTCATTAAACCCCAAGGGGGTAAGACATATTGAAGAATATATGTGTCCCTCTAACCCCCCAAAATTAAACAAATATCAGAAAAACCCTTAAGATGTAAGAAATCACCATAACTTCTCCTCAAAATTGAAAAAATTATCACTTACTTCCTTTCACCGTGAAATCTATTGGTTAAAATGAACATGATCAAAGAGGTAAGTGATAATTTTATAAAATATGAGGGGGTGGTATGATGAATTCCAATACCTTTGTGGTTTTAGTGATATTCATTAAACCTCAAGGGGGTCAGATATTAAGCCACATGTATGTGTGATGATGTATGATTAAGAAGGACCCACCTCTTGATCCAACCGTAGCCATGGCTTCCCATCACTAACACATCAACGCCCAACTTCTCTACCGTCTCGCAAATCACGTCCCTTGGATCACCATTCTCTACTCTCGCCTCCACCTTAACCTGACCCAGGGGTAAATCCGTCAAAATAATGTTCCAAACTTTGAATGACATATATGATGAGACAAAATAATTACTCACATCACTGTTCTGTTCTCTACATATCTTCCGGGCTTTCTCTATCACACGATTGGCCACGTCATTACTGTACTTATTAATAGTGGCCATGATATCAGACGAAAACAAATACCCTGAAACACAACCAAAAATTACAAAACCACCACTGACAAGTAAAGAAATTGTCTACCAAAAAAACCCTCAAAATCTACTAAATATTACCTGTGCCATCTAGCGCAGTGTAGACAGCTCTTGGAGGCTTGGCATAGAGAAGTATAAGGGTATCCTTGGAATTTTTGGTAATTACGTTCTTGAGGCACCAAGTCAGAGCATACAAGCTCTCCTCACCTTCATCAATTGCCACAAGGATCCTCCGCTCTTTTGCTGCCACGTCTGCCATTGACCGAGAAGTAGTTTGATCGAACGGTTAGAAGTAGCTGAAGCAGAATTATATCTAGCTATGTGATTTTGAGTTATGAAAATTGGGAGAGAGAGTGAAGCAGAGGTGGGTATTTATAGAGTTGGGTAAACCCGTTGGCGGTTTGTGGGTTTGGACTTCCGGGTTTGGTGGTTTTTTATTAAGTAAACCCATGGGCCATAGACGTGGGGTCTCATTGTCATTGAATTGTTTGTTTATAGTTGGGAAAAGTCAAGATGGCCCTCTAAGTTTGTGACTTTGTTTTTAGATTAAATAATATTATATGAAGATAAGATGAAACTTACGTCAAGAGATAAAAGAATTTTCTTGTTTATAGATTCTTCGCTTAGTTTAAAATTGAAATGTGAATTTCAATCCTTGAATTTGCTTTCCGAGTTAGAAATTTACCAAATCTTTTGAAAATACCTTTATCTCTTTTGGTCGAATGACAGACGTTTTAACTATTAAGGTTAACTATATCTAGAAGTTTTGTATTTAAATGACCAAAGAGAAAATTATTATATTAATTTTTTTGTAATGAGATTTATGTCAAGAGGAGAGTTAGCGATTATTATATTTGCAATTGACGTTAACATCCCCCGTAATAGAATTATCTTACCATTGATGTGAAGTGAAATTTGTATCATTATTTATCAATGAATGATTTTTTTTATTTTTGAAATCCATAAAATATCTTTGAGAAGGACATTGGAGAAATCATTTGAAATTTGACAAGAATTTGTCAAATATATTTGTTATTAAAACAATGTTTCAACTATTTAACAGTAAATTTTCCTATCGAGTATGCTCATATGAGAAATCAAATCTGAGACCGTGCGTCCATCCATAATATCTCTAATTTGTTCTAACCTGCTCACGAATGGGTTCCTAAACCCTACACTTTTCTAGATGTATCCCAAAACATGATTAGGGTATCAAATAGAAGCTAATTTGAAAATTTTTATGTGTGTAGACGATTCTTTTAAAGTTACTAATTAATTGTATTTAATAAAGTAAAAGAGAATTTAAAGATTTTATCAACCACCATAGTGATTCAATAATATTAAACAAGTACAAATATACCTTGAGTGCTATTTGTGCTAGTATTAACTAATAAATTAATAGAATATGTTTAGAAAAATCAAGGCTTTTATCATTAAAGCATTGATAATGATGAATCTTTGGTTTTAAAAGTTGGAATTTATGTACTAGGGGGTCACGTGCCCCCCTAGTGGCTCAAAGGTAAAGAACAAAGCATCAAAGTTTTTTTTTTTTTTTTGTTTGTATTTGTTTTTATTTTTATTTCCCTCTCTTAAAGCATAAAAGTGTTTCATCAAAATTTTTCCTACCAATTAATTGGGATTTATTTTTATTCCTTGGACAAAAGCACGTTACACATTCAGAATAATATGGCAACCAACTTTAAGGTATCATGTTAATGAAAGTTGAAATGCATGGAGAATGCATGGAGACTGCTAGATATAGATAATATATATATATATATATATATGTATCAGTATTTTGTAAAAACTTTCAATAAAATTAAAAACAAGTAAGATATGACTTGTTACCTTAAGTTCTTAGTAACCTTAGAGACTTTTAATTTCAAGAGAAATTAAACAAAAGAATATTCAGATTAAGGTAAAAGAAGAATTAGGTCAAGAGAGACATTTAGAGATCTTATAATTTTTTTTATCTCTACACTAAAATTGATATATCATTTTCTTTATATATGTAGCATTGTAAACAATTTAATAGTTGTTTGAGACTTTCTTAAACAATTCCGTAATTGTTTTTTAATTGTAAATAATTTTATAATTGTTATAAAGTTATTAAACTTCTTTAAATAATAACATTGGATTAACATTTAATCACAATTAATAATTTAACCCTTAAATTGTTTATACGTTTACAATTACAACTCATTTTTAAATTCAATTTAATATAAAAAAAATGATTAATTATGAATTGGAATTCCAATTAGCAATTTAACTCTTAAATTATTCACAATAACTAATATAACTCTCAATTGAATCTAATTCAATGATAATAATATAAATAACTTTGTTATTCTTGATTGGTGTTAGCCAACCTTGGATAATCAACTCTCTTTGGCTATTTCTCCGTTCTCCTTAGTTTTTATGTGTGACCTTTTAGGTTCATTCCGGCCTAGCCTTGTGCCCAATATCATATTCTATTCCGATATGTTTCGTCATAACTCTTTATGACCAAAATTCCCACCGATTATGATATGCATCTAGCAATGCTCCATAACCCTTAAGTCATAATAAAGATATACTCTAACGAATCTTTTTATAATCATACGCGCTATGCAATCCAATATTTCCATTGTCTAATCCCAATTAAGAATGGATTCATGGTATGTCAAAATTCTTATTTTAATTTTATATCAAATTGACAATCAATGCATACAGAACGTGTTACCATGAAACAACCTTTCAGATAACATTTTATATACCTTGAGTGCTATTTGTGCTAATATGAGCATATCAATTTAATTACCTAATAAATTAATAGAATATGTTTAGAAAAATCAAGGCTTAATTATCAATTAAAGCATTGATAATGATGAGTCTTTGGTTTTAAAACTTGGAATTTATGTACTAGAGAGGGTCATGTGCCCCCCTAGTGGCTCAAAAGGTGAAGCACAAAGCATCAAAGTGTTTTTTTGTATTTGTTTTTATTTTTATTTCCCTCTCAATTAAAGCATTGAATTTTTTGTTTTTTCAATTTCATCAAAAGATATTTTCCTACCCATATTAATTGGGATTTATTTTATTCCTATGACAAAAGCAACGTTACACATTTTGAATAATATGGCGACCAACTTTAAGGTATCATGTTAATGAAAGTTGGAATGCATAAAGAATGATGTATGTGATATTATAATATATATATTAGTATTTTGTAAAAAATTTCAATCAAATTGAAAACGAGAAAGGTATGACTTGTTACCTTAAGTCCTTAGCAACCTTGGAGACTTTTAATTTCAAGAGAAATTAAATAAAAGAGTATCCATATTAAGGTAAAAGAAGAATTAGGCCAAAAGAGATATTTAGGGTTCTTAGAAATTTTTTCATATCTACACTAAAATCGGTATATCATTTTCTTTATATATATAGCATTATAAACAATTCAATAATTGTTTTGGATATTCTTAAACAATTCCATAATTGTTTTTGAATTGTAAATAATTATATAATTATTATGAAGTTATTAAACTTCTTTAAATAATAACATTGGATTAACATTTAATCATAATTAATAATTTAACTTTTAAATTGTTTACATAACAATTTAACCATTAAATTGTTTATACTTTTACAATTACAACTCATTGTTAAATTCAATTTAATATAAAGAAAATGATTAATTATGAATTAGAATTCCATTTAATTCTAATTAGCAATTTAACTCTTAAGGGGCGTTTGGTTGGAGGTTATGTGAGATTACTGCCTTACTAGGGTTAAATCATCTTATATTACTTGATTACTATGTTTGGTTTGTCAAGTAATATAAGATTCTGGTAATCTTCAAATATCAATAGTGACTATTGTTGGTAATATTGGAAGTAATCTGATTACGTCCATTTTCTTAGGTATTGTAAGATTACTTATGTAATCTTTTTTTTTTTTTTTTTTTTTACAATTCTGTCCCTCATTAATCAAATTTTAGGACAATAATGCCCTTATTTTAAAATTTATTTACATGAATCTTGCTTTTACCATTTCACCCCATTTAATTAACTTTTTGGACAAAATTACCCTTGAAATCAAAACAAATTTCAACTTACCCAAGCCACCACCCCCACCCACCTACTGCCACCTGCCCCTAGCCAAACCACCGCCTGTCGACAAAAGTCACCTGGAGTCATCGTGAGCAGCCTACCATGACCGAGAGGCCCCGAAATGGCCGTTTCTGGCCATATTAATGGCCGAAAAGGCCATATCGGGAGCAAATCTGGCCGGAAATGGCCAAAATAGATCTGGCCTGATATGACCGTTTTGGGCCATCAATATGGTCATAAACGGCCATATCAGAGCTTCGTGGTCACGGTGAGCTACTCACGGCGACTTTCAGAAACTTTCGGTGGTGGTGGCAAGCGGCGGCAGGGCGTGAGGATGATTTTGTCATAAATTAAAGTTTTATATAAGCGAGGGTGTTTTAGCTAAATCTGAAATATTGGGGGTTAAATAAAATTATTTAAAAATTAATAATAAAAATAATATTATATTAATATTTAAAAATAGGGCAATTTAGTAATTTAAATAACATACCTACCAATTTATTTCTCCTAACCAAACATATTGATATAATATACCCACCAACTAACCAAACATATTTTCCTAAAGATTCTTAGTAATCTTCAAGGTAATATAAGATTCCAGTAATCCAACATTTCTTGAACCAAACGACCTCTTAAATTATTCTTAATAACTAATATAACCCTCTATTGAATCTAATTTAATGATAATAATATAAATAACTTTATTACTCTTAGTAGGTGTTAGCTAACCTTGGATAATCAACTTTCTTTGACTATTTTCCCATTCTCCTTAGTTTTTATGTGTGACCTTTTAGGTTCATTGTGGCCTAGCCTTGTGCCTAATATCATATTCTATTCCAATATGTTTCGTCTTGACTCTTTGTGACCGAAACTCCCACCGATTATGGTGGGCATCTAGCAATGCTCCATAACCCCTAAGTTACAATGAAGATATACTCCAACGAACTCTTTTATAATCATACGCGCTGTGTAATCAAATCTTTCTGTTGTCTAATCCCAATTAAGCATGGATTCATGGTATGTCAAAATCCTTGTTTTAATTTTATATCAAATTGACAATCAATGCATACGGAACATGTTACCATGAAACAACCTTTCAGGTAACATTTTATATACCCCAGCCGGAGATTTCCTTTTTCCAATTTATATTGACATTTGTCTAGGAATTTGATATTAATCTACGCCAAGTCAACGGATCCCATCTTGACTATCACTTGTCTTCACACATAAACAACACATGGCCAAATCGGCTTATTAACATATTACATGATTAACCTCCTGTTTATACACCATATGAACTATATGCGTTTATGTATAATCCAATCGTGGTATCTCCGGTCTAAAGATTAATAATACACTAGTACAATCTTATGATGCATCATTGATTACATTTTAAATGTCTATGTGATTTATCAAAAATGACCATAGTCGATAAACAATTCACTAACCGCTTATCCATGCTAATGCCATAGTGATACAACTTTTATAATCACCCATACTAATACCATCACATGATATTCAACGGAGACATTTAACATGCCTACTATGTAATATTATTGCCCAATTAATATTACTTATGTAGGGAATACTTTGATGATTTTGATATTCTAAAGATTTGTATCATCCGGACATTTCACATGTAATACATATATATAAATGAAGTAATAAACTACATGAACACTTTCTTTTATTAATAAGATAAAAATGTATATACAAAATATATACATTAACATATATATACAAAATATAATACTTTGGAAGTGACGACATGATTGGTTCCTCCAACATACACTAATATTTAATGCATGTGATACATAATTACCATGTTATTTGCTTGTTTTTTTGTGCATATAATCCATGAAAAGAAGACTTTTTTCGATGTTTCATTTTTTTTTTTTTTTTAAACCAAAGTCATATATGAAATTTTTTTTGACATTTCAACATTATCGGTCTATTTGTCCATCATTCATATGTAAATGTTATGTATAAAACATGTTATTCGTGTAAGAAATTGTGTGCAACAACCCAATTGAGTTCTATATCACTAAATTAAAGTTTGTTAATTATACGTAATATATGTCGAGTAATTGATATCAAAGGAAAAATCAAGCAGTAATGGAGGGAACGTGAAGAAAGTCGTCGAATATGAGGAGTTACCTAATTGGAAATTGGTAACTACGGAGTTCGTTTGAAAATTAGACATTTTTTACTGATCGAGTTTTAAAGGGGAATTTTATCTAATGTAATATGAAATATCGCTATACAATTCGAAAAAACATTTTACAATAAATTAAATATTGGAATCTCAATTATGGACAAATTAAAGAATTTAAAAAGTTGTTAATGGTTAATCACATACCATCTAATTAAATATTGCCAACCACAAAACCAACAATCACACTACCATTTCCAAAAACAAACAAATTAATCAAAATAAATCTCAGCCGTCAAAAACTCTATCAACGGCTCAAGCTCACCCAATTACTCCAACTAACACCAAACACCAAATCCCAATTGGTCCAACAACACACACGCAGCTCGGCCAGTCAACACTTGCCACCTCAGCCACAGCACATACACGTGCCTCCATTTAAGCCCCTCCCTCTTTCTCTTTCTCAAATTTACAGGTTAAGTTAGGGTTAGGTTTTGCTGATTTTTACTCGTTTTTCTCTCTCAAAATTCCCCTGAATTCTCGTTTGGGGCTCTCCAATTTTTAGCCTTTTTGATAATTCACCGTTCAAGTTGAAGAACCCATGTTTTTGTTTGATTGGTTTTATGGGATTCTTGCTTCTCTCGGGCTATGGCAAAAAGAGGCTAAGATCTTGTTTCTTGGCCTCGATAATGCCGGTAAAACGACGCTGCTTCACATGTTGAAAGACGAGGTTTAATTTTTATTCCTTCCTTCATTTGGTTTTTATTTTTTTTATTTATATAAATAAATAATAATAATAATAATTATTATTTTTTGTCTTTTGGTGATGAATCAGAGATTAGTTCAGCATCAGCCAACTCAGTACCCAACATCAGAGGAGTTAAGTATTGGAAAAATCAAGTTTAAGGCTTTTGATTTAGGAGGTCATCAGATTGCTCGTAGAGTTTGGAAAGATTACTATGCCAAGGTTTCATGTCTTAATCTTTTAGTATTTTTTAGCTATTATAATTTGTGACATCCTAGAGTGCCGAGATGTAAATCCTTGTGAGGTTACTGGAATAATCTTTTTGATAACGTCATGTTGCGGTGACAGCTGATTGGTGGACGTTTCTGAGCCCACTACCCTGTTACGCTTTGAGTGTGAGAATTGTGAATTGTGTCAAATACCTCATTTGTGTGCATTATTTGTAACTGAAAATTGATGTGTGTTTGAAAATCGAAACTGTTTTAGGAAATGGTTTTTGTTGTCTAATTTGTGTGAGAATTTGCTGCCACCATGATCCCAGATGATAATATGTGTGATTATTCTGATGCATGCGAGATAAAGAGTAAATAATAATGGGAGTTCGCTGATAGCGCCTTTGTATTTTTTACAGGGTTTTCTAATTGTAACTGACCGACCATGTACTCTTACCATGCCATTTTATTAGATGTTTATGAAGATATGATGAATTGGAGTGGAAGCATGTGGTGATTTCCGTTTTTAGATTTTCTATTATGCCTTTTACTTTTTGAGTTTAGAATTTGCTTTCCCGTGATCAGTATTATGATGCATTCTTCCTAGCAAGTGATTATATTTATTAAGAAAACTACAGGTTCATATATACACAAATTTCCTTTTCAGCCGATATTTTTTTATGGCAAGCTTAGTAGGAGTAATGTACAACTAATATGAGACCTTTTTTTTTTTTCGTGAAGGTGGATGCGGTTGTCTACCTGGTAGATGCATACGACAAGGAGAGGTTTGCAGAGTCTAAAAGGGAGCTTGATGCTCTTCTCTCTGATGAGGCCTTGGCAAATGTTCCATTCCTTGTTTTGGGAAATAAGATTGATATTCCATATGCTGCCTCTGAAGATGAGTTGCGATATCACCTTGGCCTGACCAACTTCACCACTGGCAAGGGTAAGGTCAATTTGGGTGACTCAAATGTTCGCCCCCTTGAGGTATTCATGTGTAGCATTGTCCGCAAAATGGGTTATGGAGATGGATTCAAGTGGCTTTCTCAGTACATCAACTAGAAAAAAAGTAGAAAGTTAGAATTTGCTTTATTTTTACTTTTTTCTCTAAATGTTGTTACATACTGAATTGAGTGGGCACAATTTCTTTTGAAGTTAAAGATTCTCAATTTCCCTCATCTTTTCCCCTGTGAAACGAACAGACGTGCACCATTCATGCTATGATAAGAATGAGACTTGTTGGATTGATTGATCATTTGTCATGTTAATGAGAGCTATACTGCAAAGTACTTGAATTCATTGTTTTACTCCAGCTATAATATTACTTTTGTGTTCACGGTAACCAACACAGATATGTTTAGGTATGAACCTGGAAGTTGAAGCTTTTAGCTTGTTAAGTATGTGTTGCCTATTGCTTGTGCTAGTTTTAGAGTGGATAAGCAAAGGATAAGTCAACCCCATTGTTGGGTATCAATTCAATGAGATATCTTGTTCATTCTTTGATAAATGAGTGAGATAAAGATTAGCCCTGCTAAAGCCAACTAAATGCTGAATCTAATTTCTGCTGTGCCAGTCAAGGTCAGAGTTATTTTAATACATTGCTTATCTACTGTGTATGAGGCATACGAAGTTGTGAACAGACCTTATGCCAATCCTCCTAAGAAATGCTAGGTTGAAGATTTGACCTTTATGGGTGGGTAAAATGTCCTACATACTACACTAGATCCTCTCAGGAATATAATTAGTAGTTAATAAAAACTAAATTACAGGAGTAAAAGAACAATACCCAGAAGGCGTAATTTCTGATAATAAGGTTGGTTAATATGAAAAGAGGATCTGCATTCACCTTAACAACAATGGCATTAACAGATGATTACTGGTATATGCATGTAAAAGGGTTATTATTACCCAAACCTCAATAGACATCGAAATATATAAACCACTTCCTGGAAAAGAATCAAAACCCCATCTCGATGCTTAAAACTTTCTGATAATGGTAGGTATGATTTATATTTCATTATCTTTCAAGGATGGATAATAATAACCCGCATGTAAAATTCAATTGCTAATAACTGATCAGGTGACTTGAATTACACATACATTACATGAGAGTAAATTATTGCCTCTTTTCTGTGTGATTTAGCATTCATCTACATCACTGATTTATGACCATGAAGTAAACAAAACTTTTCGCCACACATCAATTGGTTAAGGCACAAGGAAGCTGATTGGCGGGATCCCTCACGGGTTGCACTGTCGACTGACCTTAATTTTCTGTAAAGAGTTCGAGTGTGAGCATGCTTATCGGGACCTGAAAGATGGTAAACTATGTCTGAGCGGGGTGAAGCCAGAGGAAACTCTGATGGAGGCCCACAGCGATACTGATGTCTAAATCGTTCATCTGACTTTGGTAAAGAAGCGAAAAACTAATCGAACCGTCTAGTAGTTGGTTCCCTTCGAAATTTCTTTTAGGATAGCTAGAGTCCACAGGCGAGTACTATCAGATAAAGCCAATGGATTAGAGGCATTAGGGGTGCAATGCCCTTGATCTATTCTTAAACTTTAAATAGGTAGAATGGTGCAGCTGCGGAATCAAGAGTTCCAAGTGGGTCATTTTGGTAGGTACGGTGATATGAGATGATCAACTAAAGCTATATATATTTTTTGATAGCCAGATAACAGAAGGGGATGTAGCTCAGATGGTAGAGCGCTCGCTTAGCATGCGAGAGGTACGGGGATCGATACCCCGCATCTCCATTTCATTTTCTTTTTTGCTTTCGCAGTCGACAACTTGTAGGTAGGTAGAAGCAAAATCTATTTGACAAAGACAGTCTTCAATATTCAAACACTTCAAATCGGAAAGTTATAAAACTACTACAAAGTTGGTCACTTACACACCAACTTCACTCCATTCATCTCCAACCATAATCTCACATCTGATCAGACTATCAACCAACTTTCTTTTCCATTCTAATCCATGCATTTGTCCTTATCTCTAAGTTTCCTTTTCTTTTCTTGAACCCTATTATATACGTAAGCTTTCACATTTGATTCATTTCTTTTCTCTTCAGTTCACCACCCACATCAGTAATGGCATTCTTGATTTTCCCAAAGAGAAAACTATTCATCTTAACATCCATTTCCATAGCCATACTTAGCTGCTGCCACTCAGGTCATTCATCCTTCTCTTTGTTTTTATCATTACCCTGTTCTTGATTTTCTCCATATGGTTGATTTTACAGATATAAATACATGAACATGCAGGATATGCAGATGAAAACCCAGCTGAACGGGTTGCACAAGCCTTGTGGTGTTTCAACAATAGATTTGTAAGTTAATAAAATAGCAGTTTGTTCCGGACAGATAATTCTTGTTTTGCATTTTTTGTATCTTTTTTACATGGTTTTAACTGGATGATACACAGATTTACAGTGGTTGTGATGAGGCATATAGATTGAACGAGAGTGGAATCTTAAATGTGCCTTTTGAAGCTACTGATTCCTTCTGTCGTGGACCTTGCTTAGCTGAAACACATTATGTGCTGAATTGTGTTGATAGAGTATTATCAAACTTCATCTTCTCCAATAAGGCCACTGTTCGCGACATCAGAACCGCTGTCAATATGGGTTGCAGCTACAGCACCCAAAGAGGCAACTTCAACTGGGCAAGGTATATTCAAGGAGTGACAGGCAGTGCACAGAAAGTTGCAAATTTCAACACCTTCAATGCCGCCTTTGCAATACTTGCAGGGACTTGTTTCTTGATGTTATAACTTTCTGTAATGTTAAAAATACGCCTGAGACTGGTTTATGTGATGATAAAATATAAAAAAATATGCAGACAAATCCGTTTTTCTTCTTCTGTGTACATATTACTCTTGTTTAATTAAGCATAATCTTAACATTATGATCATGAAACTGTATATTAACTGAAGGGGCTTTAAACATAACAACTGTTGGCAAACATATTCAGAACCTATTTGATTTAGATCTTATTTTATATTATTTCTGTGCTTTGCAAACGTCAAAAGCTCCTTCAGAACAGAGTCTTTTCATTTTCCCACGTTCACTTTCACGGGTTCTTCCTTCTTCACATTCACGGATTCTTCAGTCTTTGGATTGTATATCACAGCAGCGTAGAAGCAACAGCTTGAGCACTTCATTCTTGTTGATCACCTCTGCCTTCACAAATCTTCTTTCTTCGCAATGTCCACCTGAACAAGTGTAGTTTTCATCTTTGGTGAGAACGACAACTTGAATAGCTTCCACAAATTTTCCTCTCCATCTTCTTGATCTGCTTCTTTAATCAATTGACAGCTTTCTTGAGAACTGATGAGTATGTTAGAGGAATGTCGAGTATTTATAGGAGAGGCTGTTGATGCAGTGATATTTTTCTGGAAATTCAATTGAATTTCAGTTAGGAGTTTGAAGTGTTTTTGGCGCCAAAAAGTCCCCTGTTTTTGCCTTGCATTCTTCCGTGTGAGAACTGCTGAAGTTGATATGTTTTGTTGATGATTTTAGGTGTATCAGCTGCGATTAAGGCTATATTAATTGTAAGCTTTGGTTTTAAATTTCAAATTTGTAAATTCTCTGAAAAGTTGGTGTAACAGTGGACTGTTTTGTTGTATAAATTTGTAATGTAATGCATGAAATCATAACTTCTCTCTATTTCAGTTTCTCTCTCTTCCTTTCCTTTGAATTCTCCGGCCAAAACACACAGAGGCAATGAGGCTGGTGGTATTCTTCTTCATTTAAGTTTGATGAACCCGAGAGCTTTATGTGCCTCTCCAAATCATGAGTGCCATGCATGTGCCTCGAAAGTGCACAAATCATGAATTATTAATCCTACCATTTGATCTTCTAGCTGCCTACTACTATCTAGTTAACAACATTGGTACTAAAGAGTAAACGACTTTTTCCCACTCAAAGGTCTGGCTTATATTTCGTTACTACCTAAAGCTAATTCCGTCAATTCCGATGGCAAATTTCTCTCGTTATCGCTATTTGAACCTCCGTTCTCTTTCTACAAAATCTCTCTCACTTGACACTTAATATCTAATTGATTGTTGGCCATCGCAAAGTTAAGGTTTCTGTTTTAGTTGATTTTCGACGGCAATATTCAATCATTTACTATTATGATCCATCAACCTTCAATCTACAAAAGCTTCTTACCGTGGCTCCTAGTAACTTGTAGAATGTTGGTTGGAAAATGAAGTGTGTTTGGATATTAATGGAATATAAACATTGGTAGAAAGTGGTATTTTGAAACTTTTTGAATGAGAAATGTCAGTAAGGCAAACCTTGGGTGGGAAAAAGCCCTTTAGTCTTCTAAATACATGGAAAACTTGCTGCTTTATCTTTTCTTTGATTATTGAAGTTTAGACCATGTTAAAAACTCGCCTTGGCTCGGTCGGTTTAACTGGTTGAACAGGGAACTGATGATCGAGTTGGGTCGATTCGACTAAAAAACCGAAAATTTCAAATGACCCAATTTGAACTCCAGTTGGACCGATTTTTTGTTACGATCCACCGGTCCAACCGATTTGACCTAATGGTTGAACCGCTTTTTTATTATTTTATTATTTTTTTATATGTCATGTTGATGTTAGAATGATGTCATCACGCTGACATCAACATGATGACATCACGGTTCGACTTAGTGGTTGAACTGGTTCGACTGGTCAACTCGTGACCTAACCAGGTCACTCCCCAGATCGGTTTTTAAAACCTTGGTTTAGACACATGTTTAATAATCCCCTCACGATGCCGAAGATCATGAACATTCTTCCAAATAAAAACTTCGATATACCATTTTTAATTACAGTACTTGTCATGTCATTCAGCTGTGCTTTGCAACGAGTTTGTGGCAATGTTCTTCGCCTTTGTAAGATAGCTGGTCCTCTTCAAAGTAAGTTCCACCCTAAAGCTTATACCCATGCATAAAGAAGAATTATGTACTCATACATATGTATGAAGATTAAACACAGAAATCAATCAGTAAGTTACTTCGGGGATTTAAAAATTCTGCAGAAAGCATAAGGCTTGTGGTGCAATGATCATATTCTGTTTCATTTAGAGTTACATCTATTTGGGTATTTAAAGAACCCCCAGATTCAGAATATTCATTCAAAGTTTGACATATAATATGGATGTTATGGCATAAAGATGGGTCCTATTTGGATAGATTATTTCAGGGATTGAGAATGCTAATTAAGAATTGCTCTAAATTAATATACTCGGGTTCAAATACCAATGTATTCGCTGTTTGCTTATGTTTTCGTAAAATTCTGAAAACTAGAAAACACGAGTTTTCTTGAAACCTCTTGTTCATATCTCACATTAAAGTACTATTCGATAATGTCTATTTAGCAATCCTCCATTAACCAGAGCGAGCATTCAAATATCTTTTCTACATTCATTTGCGAAGGTACTCATAATAGGTCTTCCCACCTTGCAAATAAGGCAATTCTGTCTAGGCAAATTTTTTGAAATGATACCTTTATTTCCATGTCTTCCGCTATTTTATCACCTACTTTAGGCTGCACATTAACTTCTTCAGAACTACTGTTTCCTGGAGTTTAAAGTGTCATAAATTGCCACTGTTTGAGATATTAAACTGCTCTCAATATGCTTAGCTACACCGCCCGAGGTACAAGCATGTCAATTATAAACATTTTCTCAACTTTCTCATACTAGAACATACGAAGATAATTAACGATATATGTTAATATTTGAGTAGGCAAAAATACTGACAGTTTATATTATGCAGAGAATGCATTTTCCTTCTTCAGCATAACATATTACTCATGTTTGATTAACTCTTAATAGTTGTTTCAATCTTGAAATTGTATATTAATTGAAAGGGCTTTACCACACAGCTGTAGGCAAGCATATTAAAAACCAAATTCAAAATGACAGTAAGGAAACATATTCAGATGTCATTTTATGTTATTTTCTTTGTGCGATAAAACTTCAAGCTCTTTCAGAGCACAATCTTTCAATTTGCCAAATTCACTTTCACATTTGTTCAACCTTCTTCACACTCACAGTTTTCCTCCATCACAGCAGGTTTAGAAGCAGCAGCCTGAGCAGCTTCATTCTTGGTGATCACCTCGGCTTCACAAATTCTTCTTTCTTTGAAACTTTCCCCTGAACAGGTGTAGTTTGCATCTTTGGTGTAGAACCACAACTTGAATAGCTACTTCCACAACAACTCTTCCTCTCCATCTTCTTAATCTGCTTCTTTAATTACTCGGCAACTTTCTTGAGAACTAATGAGAATATTAGAAGGGAATGTTGAGTACTTATAGGAGAGGAAATGAAGTTGGTGGTATTCTTCTTTATTTAAAGTTTGATGAAGAACCCCATGAGCCAATTATATAATGAGTGCCATGCATGTACCTCGAAAGCGCACAAATTAATTATATCAATCCTAAACTTTTGATCTTCTAGCTACCTACATAAACTATTATTTCCATTATTCAACATTGGTATTCTAAAAAGCAAGGAAACATTTGCTCATTCTGAAGATTATGGACATTCACCATTTTTAAGAGTATTTGTCATGTCATGTCCTTCTATGATGAAAATTTTCTTCGATTTTAATATTACATGTAAGATAGCTGGTTCTCTTCCCCTTTAAGTTTAGTATGCATGCAAGATTAAAACATAGTAATTAATGAATGAATAACTTCAGGGACTTGAAAATTCTGCACAAAGATGATATAAAATAAGTTCTGCAGAAGAATTGGTATGGCTGTAACATCATTAATATGCTAATGCTGCTTCTGCACTGACCATTATTACAACGATTCGGTTGCTTATAATGGTTGATTATACTGTACAATATACATAGCATCATTGTATGAGGGGACTTCCAACAAAACCAGATTGAGGAACTAATTGAACGAAATAGAGAAGCAACAGGAACAAAATAATAACAGTTAAACAAAACAAACAGTAAACAAATAATGTAATACGCGCGATTTACCCTGGTTCACCCAAAGAAGGCTACGTCCAGCTGAGTCAATATTATTGCAATATGTCTCACTTCTCTCGTTTACAATGAATGAATTGTTCTCTCTCCCATAACAAGAGAAAAGTATGTTTATATACTAGGTTTAAGAGATTAAACCTAGTTTTACAAGAATTCCTATTAATGCTGAAGTAGTCGACAACTCCAACACTAATTACTCAAACTGACAGGGAAATTATATAATTAACTTTAGCAGCAGACATTTCCATGCTTAATCTCAACGCCTAGCACCACAACGAATAGTTTTGGCAGGTGATTCTCCCATCTTCGGTGTTGCAATGCATTTAAATGTTAACACAGAGGATTGCTTCTTCTGTGTGCAAGCTTTTGAAACAGTTGACATGACACATACGTTTGCTTCTTTGGTGTTGAAGCTCTTGAAAATTTTGGCACACAGCTTCTTCTACAAAAACATTTTTTACCCATCTCTTCTACTTATTTTCTTCATAATTTGATGAATCAATATGGGGATTGCTATAAGTCTACCATGCATGTTAACTTCATGCATTTTATCACTCTGTAAATGATACATATATGGCATGAAGGATCGTCTTAAGTACCAACTGCTATAAATTCCTTGAGTTTTAAGAGTTTCATCCAATGTCTTAAGATTTGTACGTTTTGTTATATGATGATTGAATTTCATATAACAAACTCCGTTAACAAGTTTCTGTACAAAGATTGATATTGTATTTCTCTCATCAGTTCTTCATTATACCAACGCTATTTTGTATGATTATAATTATAGAGTAGAGAGATTAATCAAAACATAGTAATACATAT